CCCATGAGCCTCGGCGGCGCCCCCCGCCCCTTCCCGCCTTCCCCCGCGGCGGCGCAGGACAGCAGCGGCAAGATGGCGCAGCCGCCGGGTGAGTGGGGCCCGCCGCCAAGGTGACCGCGGCTCCCTCCTTTCCTTCCTCTCCCTCCCTCCATCCATCCCCTCTGACCGGGCTGTGTCTCTCTCTCTCTGTACCTCAGTTCTCCTCAAGGACATGAAGCTTATGGACGTGAAGCTGGGCCAGCTGCCCAGCTGGCTGGCCATGAGAGACTTCACCCCCGGCGGCATCTTGGGGGCCGTGCGAAGAGGTGAGGGGGGCGCTGAGGGGGACCCTTGGCCGGCGGGGAGCTGGAGGGTGTGAATCCCCTCTCCTGAGGGAGCGAGGCAGATGCACAAGAAGGACGTGGACCTCTGGAGCAGGGCCCAGAGGAGGCCATGAAGATGATCCGAGGGCTGGGGCATCTCTGCTGTGGGGGCAGGCTGAGGGAGCAGGGGGGGTTCAACCTGGAGAAGAGAAGGCTCCGAGGAGACCTTAGAGCCCCTTCCAGTCCCTAAAGGGGCTACAAGAAAGCTGGGCAGGGACTCTTTGATCAGAGAGGGGAGCCATAGGACATAGGGGAACAGTTTTAACCTGAAAGAGGGGAGATTTAGATTAGATTATACGAAGAAATTCTTTGCTGTGAGGGTGGTGAGAGCCTGGAACAGGTTGCCCAGAGAAGCTGTGGCTGCCCCATCCCTGGAGGGGTTCAAGGCCAGGCTGGATGGGGCTTGGAGCAACCTGGTCTGGTGGGAGGTGTCCCTGCCCAGGGCAGGGGGGTTGGAAATCAATGATCTTTAAGGTCCCTTCCAGCCCAGACTATTCTGTGATTCTATGAGCGTTTGCACATCTCTGTGCAAAGAGGACCTAGCAGTACAGGGGCTGCTTCAGGGCAATGAACAGGAAATATTGTGACCTTAATCCTGAGCCTGTTTGCTGGAAATCTTGAGGTTTCCCAACATCACAAGTAAATAAACAAAAAAAGGCAGTTAATCCCTAAAGATGATAAGAAAGGACATAGGATTTTCATAGATTGCTTGGCTAAGGTTTTGACTGATGCCCGTAGCTATAGATAAAGATAAGGCATTCAGGTAGGTTTAAACATTTAAAATTTAGTGTCTATATAATGTATACGAAATAATTAGGTAATTCCAAAGCAGCTTGAGTGCATGAAAGCCACAACAGTGTTTCAGGAAAAATGATACGTGGCTTTCCCTCCCCCCTTTGAAAGATAAGGCATTCAGGTAGGTTTAAACATTTAAAATTTAGTGTCTATATAATGTATATGAAATAATTAGGTAATTCCAAAGCAGCTTGAGTGCATGAAAGCCACAACAGTGTTTCAGGAAAAATGATACGTGGCTTTCCCTCCCCCCTTTGTTTAAAGGCTTAGCACTATTAACCTGAGCTCACCTTGCTGAACTAAGACATAGACTACCTTCTCTCAAACTTGTTTCTGAGACCCTCAGATGTTTCATTAGAAACAATTTCCTGAAGTTCTGTGAAACCAGGCTGCTGCTTTCCGACACAGGAAAAATTTGCAACTCACCTTTTACAAAAACAACTTTCTTCCTACGCAGGTTATGATAGATACTACAATAAATATATCAATGTCAAGAAAGGGGGCCTCGGTGGGATCTCCATGGTGCTGGCTGGTTACGTTGTCATCAGCTACATCTGGAGCTACAGTCACCTGAGTAAGTAAAAGCTGAGTGCATATAGTGCAGCTTGAAAGATTGCTTGGAACAATAAAAACAACTAATTTGCTGCTGCTTTTAGAAATAAAACAAAAAACTGTGCTAACCATTGCTGCTTGAATCTAAAACTTCTTTTAGCCATAGAGAACCTGAATGCTTTTAGGAAGTTATCAGAAAACTTGGATCTTGTTGCCTGTTTGACCTGACAATACTTAGAAACTACATGCTGAGGTTCCTTTTAGAGTGCTTGCTTTCCTCTAGTTTCAGGAGTGGTGTTTTTTTTTTTTTTCTTGTGACTTCAGTGACATTAACTTGCTTTACTTTGAACCACACAGAGCACGACCGCCACAGGAAGTACCACTGAAGCGCGAAGGTGCAGCTCTTGAACAGACTGGACCCCTGGAACAGTTACCCTGACAGAAGACATCAGAACTATTCATGTTAAAATCTGTACTATTATGACCAATAATAAAGTGCATACACTTTACATCTACTGAGCTGACACTCTCATAACTGACTTGTTAATTGTACTGTGCAAGTGAGTTTGTCTTCTTAGACTTTCACCCCTCAAGGATAAGTTCAGAAATAATAAAGTGCATACACTTTACATCTACTAACACTCTCATAACTGACTTGTTACTTGCACAGTACAATTGAGTTTGTCTTCTTAGAGTTTCACCCCTCAAGGATAAGTTCAGGGACAGCTGGGAAAGCATCTGCTCCTTGGGTTGCAGTGTGAATTGGGGAAACTATTACAATTTATTCCTATTTAACTGCTTGATAAAAGTAAAAAGCATTGCATTGCTTCTTAAATAGCCATTATGTACAGGTTGGACAAGTAGCTGAAAGGATATAATATTTTAATTTTAGCTGAAAGGCTATAGTATTTTGATTTGAAAGAACAGTATCTGAGCTTTAGGTGGCTTGTTGGTGTGACCACGTTTCTGGTTCTCACCTGGGGACTGTAGGTATTGGGCAGTTTCCCATCACTGCGTGGTGCTGCCTTCGAGGAGATGGGTTTGGCTTTAAGGAGGTCCATACTCATTCTGTCTCTGAGATGCTAATGCTTCTTACCTCTGATAACCCTTTTCTATCAAAGCCCTACCCACTTTCATTCCTAAAAGAAGCTGCAAAGTTACTCTGAACGGGTATAATCTTAAAAGACCTTTAATGTAACAAAGGTCTATGAAGTTAAGCAAAAGGAAAGCTTTGCTTCTTGACTTCAGTGCAGCAGTGAGGAGGTTAACAGGAGACACTGCATAAATGCAGCTTAAAGGAGCATGGGTGGGTCTGATTTCAGCTGCTGCCCTTCCTCCTGCACCTCTCAAAGTAAGTGAGGGTCCCCCTGTCACAACTCCCTTCCACAGCCTGTGACTGCAGCAGGGCACTGCAGGTAAAACCCCCCTACCCTCTTCTGAACAGCAGGGAGAAGGAAAACCCCTTGTTAAGGGATATGAAGAATCTCTCAAAAGCTATAGTGGTAAGAGGGAGGCTTTCCGTTTTGGAAAACATCTGTTGAGGCAGCAAAGAGCTGAGCTGGAGGGGGAAGGTAGCCCGACACCAGAGTGTCCCAGTTCCCTCTCCACGTGCCCAGTTACACACATAACACACCTCAAAGTGTGGCCACTGCTCAGCCTCTGGGGACACAACGCGTTATGAGAAGTGTGTGATGGTCTGTCACACCTCAGTCACACTCCAGACTTCTACTGTGGCTGACTCCAAATCTCCACAGTGAAATAACCACAGTCATTCAAACCGACACAGGCTCTGGTCACTTCTCTTAATCTAATCATATTCTCTCGTTCTTAAAAAAAAAAATAAATTCACAGCCAGCTTTTTCCATCAGTACATTTCAATAAAAACAAAGTATAAAGCCAGTCAGCAAATGAGAGATGGGTTAGAATCAATAAGGCTCATATTGTAGGTGCAATTTTTTTTTTTTTTTTTTAATTCACATTTTATCATTGGCCCTTTTGAAATAGTCTTCTCACAAAACGAATGGGTTTTGGCTGGCAAAAATCGCTCTGGAAAGAACGTTCTACCACTTCTAAAAGCAGTGTTCCATTAAGAATACACATCTCCACTTCTTGATCTTCTCTAAGCTACGGAAATACCTGCTCAGTGTGAGCTGGACGACGGGGGGGGGGGGGGCCCTGAGCCAAGGCTCTTCTATTCCTACTCTTCAAGCCGTGTTCATTTCCCTTTCGCCAAAAGTGAGGAGGGAAACGAGCACAGCTGTGGCTTTCCTACCATCATTGTTCCTCCTCGTTTGGTTTAACCACCAGAGATGCCAATTTATTCTCCCCTTGATCGGTTCTCACCCAGAAGATTAATTTCTAACCTTCAGTATAGCAAGAAGCACAGAAACAAAACAAGTGGACGAAAGTTTTACAGCCTGATGCACGTGATGCTTAAAGTCAGGCACCGGGACAAACTCACCAACAACAGGCTGGACCAGGGAACAGGACTTTGCTTTTTTTCTTTCTTTTTTTTTTTTTTATGAGTTACAGGACAGCAGAATCCCTGCTTCCTCACTGAAGGGAAGGCATTTCAAGTATTAGTTTTCCCAGTCAGTCTTCCTGCTTCCACAGGGAGGGCTGAAACGCTGCAGGTTCTCCAAAGAGAAGTGGCAGAAGGAAAACAACTTTAAAGAAACACTGGCGTAAGATGCGGTTACGTGGAGTGCTGCACCGGTGGGGGGGGTTGCATATCTATTGGGCTTTTTGATCTACCTTTCAGCAGGGCTCAATGAAAACAGGCGGAGGCCAAAAATCTATTTTTAAAAAGGTTAAAACATAAAAAAGGAAAAAAAGTTGTGGGCAATTACAAAAATGTCGCTTAGCAGCAGCCAGCCTCTGACCAGTTCTTTCAGTAATGGCATTAAAAAACAACCTGATTAATAGTTCAAGACATAGTGCTAGGCAGAAACCTTTGCTCAGTGTTAATAGCTCCCCTTGCGCTCTTCGTTCCGCTCTGTCACTGTCCACTGAGAAAGGCCAGATGTCCTTTGGTGCATCTGTTGGCATAATGACCTTTTTCACCACACTAAAGGAGAAAGAGAGAGAGGAATTATTACAGTTAAAGGGGATTTTCCCCCTCTGTCTGCCTTTGTTAAGGTAACCAGCAACTGTTCTGATTTGGAAGCTTTTTCCATGCATGGAAGAAGCGACATTTAGCAGACAAAGTGAAACACGGGTGTCACAAGGGACACGATTTATGGGTTATTTCCACTCCTTGGAGCAGAAGCTGCTTCTGTGCTGGGAGCAACCTGACACCACGTTATTACAATGCACTACAAAGGAGAGAGCTCTCAGCACATTGTTACAAACAGCAAAGGGCTGTAACACAAAAATTTCAACATTTGAGGCTTCCAAGACTATTCCATGCGATCTGCTCTACATCAGAGACACACGGGGACTCTCCTGATCCACCATCCTGAATCAGACAGATCAAAGGGCGTTTGAAGGTGAGATTCATGGCTTTGCAGCTTGAAGTGATTCAAGCCCAGAGAGAAAAGCCAGTACCTGGTGCGACAGCATTTCCCAGCTATGTCATTTACTCGCAGCTAAAATAATAAGCAGCTATTAAAGGTTTTGAGTGAAACTGAATTCAGCTACTTAATCACCCTGTCCAGTCACAGTAATTTTTACCCAAACAAGCACCAAAGGCACAGAAGTTGGCACGTACAACGATGTCACTGTCAAAGCTGAACGTTCTTTGCCCTTTTCTAGTGGCTATGGCTGGGGCTTTCGTGGAAAAATAGAGATGGAAACACAATTGTGTCCAAGTTTTACTGGTGCTCCTCAGTGAGCAGCCAATGTGAACAGCTCCTTCCTGGGTTTGACAGCAACAAAGTGTATTTACAACTGAATGGTCTTTGCATATTCAATTTTTGTTACTCACAAGGACTGCCCAGGCCAACAGGGGAAAAGAACATCTTTCTACAGCTACCAAGCGTGAGCCAATTAGCTCCTGAGATAAAACTAACATGAACTCTTGTTTTGAAATGTACAGTTCAGCAGTTTCCTTCAGCTGTCGTGGAAGGGTTCCCTCTGTACAATCTAGCACCCCGTTTTCCCTCCTCGTCCCCCCCCTCTGAATTACCTTGTAGCAGGTGACCTGCTCCAACGGCCGGGGTCCTCTGTTCCCAGTGTTGTTATTTTGAGACTGCATGACGCCGATGACTTGGGGTGTCCTCTGTTGGTTAGGAGAAGAGTTCTGATTCATTAAGTGCATGGAGGATAAAGACCTTTATGATTGCTATTTTTTTAAGAAGGGAAAAGAGCACCCCATATATAAAATGATCAATTTTCCTCCAGATCTGTGTGTGGGTGCTCTGCCAGCTGGAGCATCAGAGAGAAGAAATCAAGCACTGAGGCTTACAAAGCCCAGAGATCCTGCTTTTCTCTGAAAGGCAGATTTAAAGAGCAGGTTTAGGCTGCTAAAATATCACTGCCATCACTGAGAGATGTCACGCAGATGACAAAAACTGGCAGATTGCTGCACAACCACGTACGATGTGCTTCTATGAAATGTGGGAGTGTTCTGTGACTAGATCTCCACGTAAAGCTGGGGCAATTGTAGGGCTTTCACCACCCTAACGGCACTCAGGGTTGCTCACTGCCTAATTCTTGCCCAGCACTCTTCCTTCCAGGCACTGCCCCAAGCAACAGAACATCACTGCTGGCCTCTGAGCTGGAGGACAGGGCTAACAGAAGGTTAACCAAGGTGAGGGGAGAAACAGGACCAGGCAAAATACCACGGTCCCAGGTTGAAGGCAGCAGCAGCCCGTTGTGATTAGATGGTGGACACGAGAGGGCTGGGAGGAAGGGAGATAAGGGACAGTGCTTTGCGGTTTATTTTGTAATTAAAAACTTGGAGACAAATCCTAAGAGTATCACACCCTGTTGTAAAATGGTTTTCCCTCACTGAGTATTTCTCCAAGCCAGATCCAAGAGCCCAGGTGTCCAGTTCTGACCACTAGACAGTACACCCTCTTTTAAAGCACTGCAGGAAATGCCTCGAGGGTGGGCCTGTAGGGGAGGCAGGGAAATTGTGTACCTTTTGCTGTGTTTGTGTCGGTTGAGGCAGTGGTGGTTGCTCTGTGGTTCCCATTGGCAGTTCAAACCGAGGGCTGGTTTAGACGGAAACAAGAAAATTGATTCTCAAATCATATGCCCACATTTTACCTTCAGCTCAGTCAAGTAAATCCAAACAACAAAACAAACATTCAGAAAATTAAGTTCAGGTCACAGGAATCAGACCTCTCCCTCCCACTTCTCTTTGTATTCTGATGCTCAGTAATTACATATACAAAAAAAGACAGCCCAGTATGTAGTATATCCCTCTGCCTGTGAAGTCTTCTGGAATATAAACACCTGTGATCCCACTGCACTGATGCCATTTGATCACCACTCCAGAGTCTTACTGGTAACTCCCTGAAGAGGCCCTGCCCCATATCCTCAAATCGGTACAAGAAACTAAACGTTGGCCAGATCTCCAAAGCCATTGGGAAGCACTGGAGCACCCTCCTTTGACATAACCCGAATTAGAAGGGAAACACAGGATTGCAGGACAAGCCTGGGAACATACTCACTGCATGAATTTACAGGTAGGTCCATCTGGACAGAATCCTACCAGGTAATTCACACAAATGACTCTCCGAGTGTGGCGGTGTCTGCAGAGCGGACCTGCAACACAAAGCTCAGCAGTTCACATTCCACATAAACCCACTCCAGCACTCAGCAGCAGCAAGGAGACAAGGGTATCATGCAAAGAACAACACCCTACCCTTGATTTATAACCACAGAAGCTGCAACCGCATGACATACATACCATGTTTGCAGAAGCCTCTGTCATACCAGGGACAGTCTTTGATCTTAGATTCCGGGTCGATGTGCAAGAATGGACATTCTTTGTTACTGCATTCCCCTGTACCAAAGGCAAAGGCACTTCTTAGTCAATTGTGCAGGTTCGAGATCAAATGACTCTCAAAAACATTACCTGGATCACGTAGCTCCCACAAAACTGTTACTGATATTTATAAATTCAGGCACAACAGTCTTAGTGCCTGCCTTAACCTAGATGAAGAACACCAAGGACTCACCACTGGTGAGTAAAGTTCTACCAGACTGGATTATTTATGTGTGCTTTTTAAAAATAATGCGGAAACTAAATTGGAAAGAGCAGTCATGATAACAAAAACCAAACATTTAGTGCACCAGAAGTGTGGAGAAACTACAAATTGCGCACTAACCTCAATCCAAGGAAACCTACAAGACTGTAAGTTTCTGACAGCAAGTTGCCTCATTATGTCCAGATCTCCAGAGCTGGAAAGCAAGTGCATAAAAGTTTTGCACTCCCATGCCCTCTGCTGCTCATCAACTCCCCAAAACAAGAGTCATGCAAAGACCAACTGCTCAGCCTACTCATCTCATACCCAAACCAGAACAAAAGGCATAAAACCCAGTAAAAGCTTGAATTTCCCCCCTCTTCCCCCAAGGGACTAGCTCTTGAGAGAGAAGACATCTACATCATGTCACAAATTTAGGGGGATAATCAGGCGAAGGACTAAGCAGATCTGAAAAAATTGCAATCTATCTATAACATCAGACAGAGAAGAACTGTGGTGCTCTGAAGACAGGTGAGAGGGATGCACCAGGATCCTCTTCACCGGACTCCCACACCAGCAAGCAGGAGCTACAACACCCCTTACCAAATTTGGAGTAGAAGTAACACTCAGGCATCTTGGTCATGTCGTACTCGTGCAGAAACTCGCACTGGTCTCCCTTTTTGCACAGTCCTCGTAGCCAGTGTTTGCAAACAACAGTCTTTTCCCCGCTGATGTGTCGGAACGGGCACATCCCTCCTGCAGAAGGACGGGGCAAGGAGAAGGGGAAAAAAGCACAATTAAAATCAGTGGCACAAGAAGGCCCAGGGCAACGGCAACATTTCGTTCCCCTCTGCAAGAGGGGTTTCAGAATGCATCACTTTTCCTTAGGAATTGAGCCTTTAGTGGCAATGGGCATTTGGGACAAGTCTTATGTCACCCTCTAGTGAGCGAAGCAACCTAGTCTCCAGCTCTTAACTCTCCACCTCCCAACTTCTCAAAAAAATACCATTATTTCACAATTGCTGCAATTATTCCATCATCCATCATTTTTATCCTCTCTCTTGATTATCCCCACATCTTTACAAAACCAAAAGTACTGCAGCCAGTGCTAGAAAATCTAGTTTCCTCCCTCCCCCTCAATGAGTACAATTGTATCAGAAGTATTACTTGCCTTTTCCACAGGCCGCCTTTAAAAAAAATTCACAGACTGCTGCGCCTGATTCTGTAGAGAGAACAAAAAAACATAATTCATTTTAACAAAGGTTGGTGGCAACTTTTAAAATATTTCTTTCCCCAGCAAAACAATCTGGTCCTCAACATGCAAAGAAAAGCAGCATTTTGGTTTGGGGAATTTACTTTCCCCACGTAAGTTCCTTGTTCAAATTTCACCCTTACAAATATCGTTATTTTTCTCGGGGGACACCATGGGGAATTTGCAGATTTGGTGGTGTTTGTTTTGCTTTCAGATATTTAGGTTTAACTGACTGGTTTTTCCTCTGCTGTTATGTCAATCACATCAGTGAATCCTGTATTTACAGTCCCAGGAACAACAATCTTGTGTTTTTTGACCAGAACAACCTGAAAAAACCATAAGCATCTCATTCCTTGCTGATCCTGACCAATAGGTACCATAACATTTGTGGGAATAAAAACAGAAGTTTAGTAGCCTGGTCAGAAAGTTTCAGCAAGCTACAATTCTCCCAAAACTACCCGTGTCAGACTACCAGGCTGGAAGAAAAGTTTTAGAGTCCAGGCCACAGATATACCTAAAGATGAAGTCTGCCTGACATCAAAATGCGTCATCTATCAAAAGGGAATGAAAAAAATAATAAAGCACTGTGTGGAGAAATGATATTTATTCACAATAATGCCTCAACTTTCATTTTCCAGCCTGCCTAGGTACTAGAATCATAGATTTGTCTGTTTTGGAAGGGACCTTTCAGATCATCGAGTCCAACCAACAACCCAACACCGACCTTTCAGATCATCGAGTCCAACCAACAACCTAACACCGACAAAACCACCACTAACCCATGTCCCTCAGCACCACGTCTGCTGAGCAGCCTGTTCCAGCGTTTGATAACCCTTTTGGTGAAGAAATTTTTCCTAATATCCAGTCTAAACCTTCTCTGAATATCCAATCTAAACCTTCTCTGGTGCAACCTGAGGCCATTGCCTCTTGTCCTATTGCTTGTACCTTGGCAGAAAAGACCAACCCAATTTGGGAGTTGTAGAGAGCGAGGAGGTCTCCCCTCAACCACCTTTTCTCCAGGCTGAACACTCCCAGACACTCCTCATAAGACTTATTCTCCAGACCCCTCATCAACCTTGTTGCCCTTCTCTGGACTTGCGAGGAGGTCTCCCCTCAACCACCTTTTCTCCAGGCTGAACACTCCCAGACACTCCTCATAAGACTTATTCTCCAGACCCCTCATCAACTTTGTTGCCCTTCTCTGGACACGCTCCAAAATTGCAATGTCTTTCTTGTACTGAGAGGCCCAAAACTGGGCACAGCACTCAAGGTGGGGCCTCACCAATGCCAAACACAGCACAGGGACCATCACTTCCCTACTCCTGCTGGCCACGCCATTCCTGATACAGGCCAGGCTGCTGTTGGCCTTCTTAGCCACCTGCACACACTGCTGGCTCACATTCCACACAGGATGCTGTTGGCCTTCTTAGCCACCTGGACATACTGCTGGCTCATATTCCACAGGCAGTTGACCAACACCCCCAGGTCCTTTTTCACTGGGCAGCTCTCCAGCCACTCTATCCCAAGCCTGTAGCACTGCATGGGCTTGTTGTGACCCAAGTGCAGGACTCAACACTTGCCCATGTTGAACCTCACACCACCAGCCTCAGCCCACTGATCCGGCCTGTCCAGATCCCTCTGTAGAGCCTTTCTACCCTCAAGCAGATCAACATTCCTGCCCAACTTGGTGCCATTTGCAAGCTTACTGAGGGTGTACTCGATGCCCTCATCCAGATCATTGATAAAGACACTAAACAGACCCAGCCCAATGTTGAGCCCTGAGGAACATCACTTGTGACCGGCCACCGACCAGATTTAACTCCATTCAACACAAACTGCCGTGATAACTACAACTTTCATTAACTGGGAAAGAAAAACATCCGGATTAAGACAGAACCCCCCCGGGGAAAGCAGGAGCTAGGTGGATACAAGCAGAAGAGCTCAGCAAAGCGCTCGGACCCTCGGAAACCTCCCCCCCCCCTCCCCAGCCGCCTCAGCTGAGGCGACCCCGGCTCCGGGGATGGGACGAACACCCGGGGAGGAGAAGAAGGGAGGCCGCACGCACTGTCCATGCCGGGAAAGGGTAACGGCTGCGCCCCCAGCTGCTGCTCCACGGCCATCTCCAGGTCGAACTTGATGTGGTCCACGCTGGCGATGAGCTCCTGCATGGTGGCGGCTGGGGG